TTGATTTGTTCTTCCTCCCCCACCGGACTGTAATACCCATGAAGACAGGATATGTCTCTCATTTTGTTCATACTGCCTTTCAAGTGCACAACACACTTCCTGGCACATAGCAGAGGTTCAAATAATATTTGTAAAATAAACAAATGCCTGCATTGAGCATTCCAGATTCTTCCTCTTAGAATATCTTTTGCCCAGTTCAGATGTGATCTGTGCTAAGGACTTTTCAATGGTTATTTTTCCTCCTATGATTCTTACATTGACATTCAAGCTTATTTAGCCTTTTATTTCTTTGACACATTTTGATGATTCTCCCTTAGGAGTTGCCTGCTAGAATCTCTGAGCTAGGACTGGAGGGACATAGGTTCTCCAGCAGATTCTAATCTGCCAGTTGCCTTGCAGAGACATGGCCAGAGGAAACTGCTCTGCATCTTAGGATAATTAACTGGGCTCTGGGAAGACACACTGGTAGAAAGTGTTCTTCACAGAAGATCTACTCTTCATCTTTTGATTGTCTTGCCCTCATCCCAGTTCCTTCTGCTTCTTTGTTGTTGTTGTTGTGTGCCACTGAGTTGATTCAGACTCATAGTGAATCTGTATGGGATTTCCAAGAGCAGCTGGTGGGTTTGAACTGCTGGCCTTGCAGTTAGCAGTCCAAGGCTTATCCTACAGTGCTACACTTTAGACCGATTATTTACAGAGGGAACAGCTTCCTTATTTTGCATACTGATTGACTCATTTGAAAGAGTAGATCTTTAGAATTGGAGAAATTGCTGTCAGTCCTCTGTAAAACTGCCTAACACTTTTCTGGGGTGTGTTTATTACCTACCCTTGAGCTAAATGTGAGGCTGAGTAGTAATGACCTGTGTCTCCAGGCGAGTCCATTTCCCTGCAGGTGCACTTGGAGGCCCCTGAGAAGCCCTAAGGTGTAATCTTTGCACAGCCGCCTTGGCAGCTGAGTTCCCCAATGTTTGCTGTACATTTAAAGACAAGCAGGTATCGATGACAGTGGGTGATTCTAACAAATTTCCTTCTAAAATTGGCACATTCTCGGTTAACTTTTGAGACCTCACAGTGTGTCTCACAGTTTGGGGACAATTTTTGTCATCATCAGGCCGGCAAGTACTAGTTCTCTGGTGACGTTTGTGGGCGTCTCTAGAAGAGCTTAATACACAAAAGGATATGGAGGTCCATTCTGGTTCTGATGTAATCGCTTAAACACACATGCCTACAATGTGTTCCCCCGCCCCTTAGAGAGGACCCTAACACACTTAAAACAGCCTTATGCTGTCCTTTCTCTAATTTAAAAAAATAGAGGGACACTTAAGCTTTCCAGATGTGCAGATGCGTTCTTTCTTTTTCTTTTTTTTTTTTCTGTTCTAGATTACTTCTCTACTAAAGTCCGTATTCTTCACAGACTTTCATTGTGTTATTATTTTTTATTCTTAAAATATTCTGTCAAATCAACCACACTCCCTCAGACTAGGTAACAGCTTTGTAAATGGTTTCCCCACCATTTAAGATGACTACTGACCCCAGTTTGCCCAGGCCTGAGATGGGTTCCTACCTAGTATGTAGACTTTTGGTACTAATACTGGAAAAGTCCAGACAAAGCATAACTTGTTGTTTACCCTACTAATCTCAATAAGGGGGCAAGTAGAGCCAATCAAGGGTAGTTATTATCTGGTACGAATTCGAGGAAACCTTACTCATCTTTCAGTTTTTCATATAACAGCTTTATTGAGATATAATCCGTGTATCATCCAATTCACCAATTTAAATCATAGAATCCACTGGTTTTTACTATCTCCATAGAGTTGTGCAACTCTCACTGCAGCCAATTTTAGAATATCTTTGTTCATCCGGGAAGATATCCTGTACTCATTAGCACTTACTCCATATTGCTCCCAACCACCCTTCACTATGGTGTGGTGCTGTAGGATCAGCACTGGGCTATGAACCACAAGGTTGGTAGTTCAAACCTACCACATGCTTCTTGGAAACCCTATACAGGGTCTCTATGAGTCAGAATCGACTCAATGGCACTTAACAAGAACAGCAACAACCCCTACTACCACCCTCAACCCAGCAACCACGAATCTTTCAGTCTCTTTAACTTTGCAATTTAAGTTTAATTATAATTATGTACTATATGGGCTTTATTGACTTAACATAGTCTTTTCAAGGTTCATGCATGTTATAGTGTGAATCAGTACTTTACTTCATTTCTTCGCTAAATAATCATTGCATTATATGGAATTTTGCTTATCTACTCATCAGTTGAAGGAGCTTTGGTAGCTTAGTGGGTTAGGCTTTGGGCTGCTAACCAAAAGGTCAACAGTTTGAATCTACCAGCCACTCATAGGGAGAAAGCTGGGGCTTTCTGCCCCTGTAAACATTTACAGCCTCGGAAACATTATACAGGATCACCATGAGCCGGAACTGACTTCATGACAATCAATCACCACCACCATGACACTCAACCACAAACATACGGTTTGTCGTTGATTCCACTTTTTTAACTACTATGAATAACGTTGTTATGGACACTGGTGTGCAACTTTTTGTGTGGACATATATTTTATTTCTCCTTGGTACTGACTTAGTTACCTAATGTGGCTATAACATAAGTACCACATTGGGTGGTTTTAAAGAACTGAAATTTATTTTCTCACAGTTCTGGAGGTTTAAACTCCAAATTAAGTTCTTGACCTTGTGGATTCCTTCCTTGTAAGTAGTCTTGGTGTTTCTGGGTTCCTTGGTGGTTCTTGCTGGAACATTCTGTCTATTCTAACCTTTACATAGCTCAGAAGTGATTAGGACTAAGTCTTTGCTTCACTGGCATGACTCATTACCACAACAAAAGAAAACTCTATTTCCAAACAGGACCACATTCACAGGTACAAGAGTCTAGAATTCCACACATATTTTGGGGGAGACACAATTCAAATTATAGCAGTTATATATGAAAGTAGAATTGGCACTATGAGATCAGCACTGGACTGCTAACCAAAAGGTGGGCAGTTCAAACCCACTAGCTGCTCTTTGGAAACCCTATACAGGGTCACTATGAATCTGAACCAACTCTATGGCACTTAGCAATAACAGCATGGTAACTGTATGTTTAAGTTTTGAGGAACTGCCAGACTGTTTTCCAAAGTAGCTGTACCATTTTACATTCCCACTAGAAATGTTTTTCTTTACATTCTGACAACACTTGTTACTATTTCACTACTTACCAAAAGGTTGGCAGCAGAAATTCACCAGTCACTCTTCAGAATAAAGATGAGACTGTCTGCTCTCACAGTGATTTATAGTCTCAGAAACCCTATATGATAGGGTCAGTATGAGATGGAATTGACTTCATGGAATGGATTTGGTGTTTGGTATCATAATTGATATAAAATGGTATCTCATTGTGATTTTGCTTTTGGATTGCCCTGATGGTTAATGATGTTGAACATCTTTTTCCATGATTATTCCTAAGCTTTTTAAATGAAGAATTATAAAATACATAAAGGCTGTTTACAAATCACCAATTATATACACTGGGCTGAGATTTTAACTAAATATTTACATTGGATGTTTACAACTCATTTGTACTCTCTCAGATCATTCTGCCTACAAGTAAATCTGCATGCTTTATTTCAACCACTGACGTTTCCTCCATACCAAAAATGGTCTCAGTGAATATGTACCTCTCTTACTTTGATGCTGAGCCATCTCTGCTGTCTCCTTCAAGCCTTGTTGCCCATGTGACCATCTCCTGGAGGCTGTTCTCTGAGTGAAACCTGGGTCTACATCTCGAGCTCTTTGTTCACTAACATCCTCAAAGGGCTTGATGCCAATTATTACTCCAGTTCAGGCTGTACCTACTGGCACTGTGCACAGCGGTTGTTTCTTCTCTCTTGGTGCCATTTCTTTCTCCATTGTTTCCTCTCTCCAATTTCCCTTGTGCTTTCTATGTGCTTATTTCATTTTGCTCATTCCTTAGTCTGTTTCTCAAATCCAAATGGATCCAGGACACTCTAGTTCATCTCCTGTTCCCATCTTCTCTTTCCCTTCCATTAATTAATTTTTCTTTTATAAAACGCCACTGACTTGATAGAAGAAGACAGTGAGGCTCCTAAGAAAATAATCACGTCAGGAAAACATATGCTCTAGTTGCAGTATTTTCTAAAGTCTGAGAAAGTGGAATGACGTGTTTTCTTCTCTCCCGAAGGGCCCTAGGCAGTGATCACCAATTTCTAAAAATGTTATGAATAATAATGTTACCACCCCCTCACCCATTTCATTGACCAGCAACTACCACAATGATGCCATTTCAGCATTTAAAACTCGTTACCTGTGTTGTGTGCTAAAGAGCCACTACCTTGCAATTCAGCAGAGTGGATCGGGCTTGTGATAATGACAGTTGACATTTCTTGAGTATTTACTCTAAGCAATGGAGGATTTCATGTGGCGCAGTGTGCTGTAGTCAGCTAGGTATGCTTACTATTATCATTATTGTTGTTAAGCGTTGTCAAGTTGGTTTCAACTCATAGCGACCCTATATAAGGGTGTCCAAGGAGTGGCTGGTGGGTTTGAACCACTGACCTTGAGGTTCAAGTGCTTCATCCCACAGCACCATACATCATCATTACCATGTTATAATTCACTTCATGAAGAGTTTTAGCCCAGCACAACCTAATATGGTCACATGCTGCTATCAAAACAAGCCCTCATGTCTTCTTTTCTTCCCTTGTGATGGAATCCCGAGTGGTGTAGTTAGCACATTTGGTTACTACCCAAAGTATCTTGGAAGAATGACGTGGTCATCTATTACCATCAACCCAGCCATTGAAATCCTGTGGAGCACAGTTCTACCCTGATACTATACATGAGTTGGAGTGAACTCAGTGACAACTGGTTTTTAAATGGGTTAACATTTCTGCCGTAACCAAAGACACATAAGATTGTCATGGCTGGGGTAACAAGCCACATTATGGGTTTGTGTGTTTCAGAGTCAAGGGGCCTGAGAAGGAGGAGAAGTTACGGCGGGCAGTCAAGCAGGTCCTGAAGTGTGATGTGACCCAGAGCCAGCCGCTGGGACCCGTCTCCCTGCCCCTGGCTGACTGCCTGCTCACCACACTGTGTCTGGATGCTGCCTGCCCAGACCTACCTACCTATCGCTCTGCCCTCAAGAACCTCAGCAGCTTGCTCAAACCAGGGGGCTTCCTGGTGATAGTGGATGCCCTAAAGAGCAGCTACTACATGATTGGAAAGCAGAGGTTCTCCAGCCTCTCTCTGAGCCGGGAGACTGTGGAGGCAGCTGTGAGAGATGCTGGCTACAGGATCGAACAATTCCACGTGATCTCTCAAAGTTACTCCTCCACCACAGCCGACAATGAAGGACTGTTCTCCCTGGTGGGGCGGAAGCTGAATGGGTCTGTGTGATGCTATGTTGTTTCTATTAAAACAATTCCTTTGACTTGCATAGTTGGCTTCCATCCTTGGTTTTAAGTGCCTCTGTCATTGCATAGAGGCTCAGTGGTGAGGGCTTGATGGTGCAGCTAGGACAAGAGTTGGAGTGGTCAGTCAGTCTAGGAACAGTTACTCTGTGATCCACTCATGCTAGAGCCAAGGGGACACAGAGATATGCACAGGGCCAGTCTTTGGGATACACTGTGATTAAAAACGAAAACACATTTTCTTAGACATTCCAGTAATGGTGGCTCAAGTCACACCTGCCTAGTAAGTGTCTCTAACTTACCCACTATACATTTCCTAGGGGGCCTGCTGCCTCCTTCTTGCCCAGGAGCAAGTTCCTCCTCTTTGACTTTTCCCTTCTTTCCCTAGAAGCGACCACAGGGCAGCTTCTGCTGCTGATTGCATCTGCCCTGGGCACAGTTGTTCTCTGCTCATTCCCACAGCGGCTGCCACCACTCTGGCCTCAGGGATCAGAGCATACCTGTCCTCTTTGCTCCTCAGTTAAAAGCATCGGGCATGTGCTCTTCTTGCTTCCCTTCAACACACCCTAGCCAAGGCTGCTATAGCTACCTGAAGAGAAGTTAAGGAGTTAACAAGAGAGGCAATACAGACACTGTTTTACAGCTGCTCTTAAAGAGGACATCTTCAGAGCTCACCTCCACAGAGGGTCCTGGAGGGTAGCCTGCTTACATAGCTTTTGGCCAAACATCTACTCACCTCAGCATGTCTACGTTATAGTTTTTAGGTCCCAGCACCATGTTTTAAAGCAGAAGTTGACAAACGATGGTCCTCAGGTCAAACTCCAGCCTGCTGCTTAATTCGTAAAGTTTTATTGAAACACAGCCATTCATTTCTGTGCTATCTATGGTTGTTTTCGTGCTACAATTGCAGAGGTGAATACCTGCACCAGGTAATGTAAGGATCTCCTCCTACACAATATTTTAAATCAAGTGCGTTATTGTTGTTAAGTGCCATCAAGTTGGTTCTGACTCACAGTGACCCTGTATAGGGTGTCCAAGGAGCAGCTGGTGAGTTTGAACCACCAACCTTGTAGTCCACTGCATTATCCTGCAGCGCTATTAATTTCTAAAAAGTGTTCTCTGTGAAAATGACAAAAATTTCCTAAATTACTGGATAGAAGTGTCAATTTTTTTTTGGTTGCTTTTATTTTATTATAGATTTTTAAAAAATGTTTTATTGTGAATTATATGATAGTTTACATGAGAGAACTTTAGTTTTACATTCATTCCATCGTATATCATTTCATTGCCATGGTTCCAATCCCCTCCATGCATCCTCAATCTACCAAAGGGTATATCCTAGAAACCCGCCCCCTACACTTTCCCCTCCCCCCAATTCTTCAGCACACAGTCCCTCTCCCTCTCTGGATCCAAAGTCCCCAGCCACTTCATCACTCCATGTCATCGTCTCTGTCTCTATCTCAGGCAACTCTGCTTCTCTGGGTGAAGTGTCAATTTAAAAAAATCTTTTGTGTAATCTGCCCAGAAGAAAATAATTTTGTGTCTTACTACAAAAGCTGAGTTCATCATGTTCTTAAAAAAAACAACTTGTGGCTTTTGGAAAAGTTCGTTTTTTTACTTTTAGCTACCCAAGTATTAAGGAGCTCTGCTAACGTAGTGGTTATGAATCAGACTGCTAACCTCAGGGTTAACAGTTCAAAACTACCAGCTATTCTACAGGAGAAAGAGGAGGCTTTCTGCTCCTGTAAAGATTTACAGCTTCAGGGTCACTATGAGTTGGCACCGACTCCATGGCACATAACAACAACAAAGGCAAGTATTGCTTCTTGGTGACCAAATGTTGACTCTATCCCCAAATACTGTCTTCTCTTTCTAACACACTATCTTTTGGAACTTTGTAAAAAGTCACAAAAGATTATTTCCCGTTGTATGAAGGGGAAAAGTGATAATATCTTTGTAAACCATCTATCCGACAAGAATCTAATAGCCAAAAAATATATTAAAATTTGACAATTTAACAAGGAAAGTACTAAAACCCAAATCATAAAATGGACAAAGAGTCTGAATCGACATTTCTTCAGAGGCCATTCAGATGGCTAGCAAACACACGAAAACATCATGAACAATCAGAGAGGTGTAAATCAAAAGCAAAACAAGGAACCTGGGGATATAGTGGTTAAAGTGCTTTGTTGCTAACTGAAAGGTCAGTGGTTCAAATTCACCGACTTCTCTGCAGGAGAAAAATGTGGTAGTCTGATTCTATGAAGATGCATCACCTTCGAAATCCTATGTAGGCAAATCTACTCTATCCTACAGAGTCTCTGTAAGTCAAAATTTGTTTTGTTAGATTGGCTAAACATAAAAACAAAACCAAACAGAAAATAACAAATGTGGCCAAAAGGTGGGGAAATTGGAAACTTGATTCACTGCTGGGGGGAACATAGAATAGTACCACAAAATAGGAAAATAATGTGGTAGTTCTTTAAAAAAAAAAACTAAAAATAGAACTATCATGTGACTCAGCAATTCTACTCCCAGATGTATACCCAAAAAATCCAAAAGAGAGTCAAACAAAGGCTTGTGTACCAATATTCACTGCCATACTATTCACAATAACCAAAAGATGGAAACAACATGATTGCTCATCAAAAGATGAATGGATAAACAAAATGCTGTCCATGAATACAGTGGACTGCTAGTCAGCCTGGAAAAGAAAATGAAGTTCTGATGCATACTATAATGGATGGAACTTGAAGCTATTATGCTGAGAGAAATAAGGCAAGCAATCACACAAGGACAAATATTGCATGACCACGCTTATATAAAAAGACAAGAAAAGGCAAAGATATTGAGACCAAAGTTTATTAGTGGTTACCAAGGGTAGGAGGAGTCCTGGTGTAGTATTATGGTAGGATAAGGACCGGCCTGCTAACCACAAGGTTTGTGGTTCTGCCAAAACCATGTGAGAGCCATGTCTGACTTCCCCTGACTTCACAAGGGGGAAAGAGAATCAAACTGAAAACCAGCCCACGGCTGATTTTGAAGCAGAGGTCAGACATGCTTCCACCCTACAACCTTCTTTACCCTATTTTGACACCATCCCTCCCTTCCTCAGCACTGTTTCACATCTGGGTTCCAAAATCCATTGCAACGGTCTCACAGAACTCATAACAATACTTATGATTATGGGGTTTCTTAGGAAAATCACAGGGTACAATTCAGGATCAAACCAACTCTGGCTGCAACAGTTCTCCAGTCAGGAACGCCTCTTGTTCACCATGCTGCTGGCACACCTCACTCTTGTTTTCAGTCTCTCTCAGCCATGTGGTCCCTTGGCCTCTGCCCTGCTCAGGCAAGTAATATAAAGCTCGTTTAGCCAGTCTGTGAATGTCCATAGACACTCAGCTTTACTTAGTCCCTATAGGCCTAGAGCCCGAAACTGTTGTGTCTCTCCATGCCACTGCCTCTGCCATTGACTCTTGCCATCTCATGCTTCACTCATGCTCTTCCTTCTTGATGGTCCCCAGATCTTCTGTCTCTGTTTCTGAGATGGCTCCTTTGAGATTGGAAGGCAAAACTAACCAGTCCCAAACTTAGAGTCCTGTAGACCTTATTTGCATGTTGTTGTTGTTGTTGTTATGTGCCATGGAGTCGGTTCCAACTCATAGTGACCCTGTACAGGATGTCCAAGGCTATAAATCTTTACGGGAGCAGAAAGCCTCATCTTTCTCCCTCAGAACCGCTGGTAGTTTCGAACTGCTGGCCTTGCAGTTCACAGCCCGATTCATAACCACTACACTACCAGAGCTCCTTATTTACATGGTCCCATCCAATTACTTGGTGGAAATTCAGAAGACTTTAGATAGAAAAACCATATCAAGTAAATTTAAGACACTACAGACCAACCCCTGGCTTTCCTAGCCACTGTCTTTCATAAATAAAAGATTAACTACTCCCCCCTTTCAGTTACACATCTTCTACAATTGTAGTTTTGACAATCACAATTAATTACTAACAATTAGGTCATAAAATCTTATCAGCATCTTTCCCTACTTTCTCTTCACCAGACCCTTTGGAAAAGAGGAAACTATTCAGTGGTGATGTTCCCTTGTCTCCCTTATTCAGAGACTAAGAAGATCTATGAAAGCTTGTAAGCCAGCCTCTTCATGCCTTTATAGCACCCTCATTTTTGAAAGCCAATGTCTAAACTAGCCGTCCCTATCAACCCAGTACACAGAGGAGACAAGCGTGTTCCTTGAGCTGAAGAATTTTCCATTCCCGTTGGAAATTTGAACAAATTCATCCATAAGCAAAATCCAGTCTATCAAATTATAGCAATTTGCACTTGTTCACAGTATCAAACAACTTTATCTTCATCTGGTCAGCTCAGCCCTAGCCATCCAAGCTAGGTCAAATGGGTACTAGCTGCAAGTTTGGGTGTTCACACATACCTCCCTATACTTAAGACCAGCTAGCTGCTTTACTGTCAGCACTAACCCCCAGCAGTTAGGTCAGTGCCCATGGGCTCAGGAGTTCACACCTTTTCTCTCTCATCTCAAGGTCAACAGGTGTCAATGGGACATGACAAAACTCAGCCCATATCTTCATTGCTGCATTTCCTCTACTTCCACTCACAAGTAGACCCAGGTGGTCACCAGCGAGCATGAGTTTCAGTCTTAGAAGGGGGTTTTCTTTGATGGGTTGATTTTTCAAAGATCTTAGTTAGAGGACTAAGGTGCACCTGACTTAAACTATGGTATTTTCAACAACATCATGTGAAAGTTGAACAATGAAAAAGGAAAACCATAGAAGAACCGATGTATTTGAGCTATGGTGTTGAAGGAACATAAAAAGTACCATCGACTGTCAGAAGAACAAACAAATCTGTGTTGAAAGACGTACAGCCAGAATGATCCTTAGATGCCAGTTTGGCTAGACTTCATCTTCATACTTCAGACATATTATTAGGAGGGACCAGTCCCTGGA